AGGCGTCAGAAGTTTTCGCGCTAAACGAATGCGATATACGTCCCCCACGGGTAGTCTACCCACGGGGGAACTTTCCATTCAATTCCACAATAATGAACAAATTTCGATAAAAATCTGCCTAATTATGTTTCCCGCTGTAATCCTCTCCATTGCTTCTTATTTGCCTCTCCTTTTCTTTCCTTTCTCCTTTTAGTGGCCCAATATCGGTAGCGAAGGCTTGCCGTCTGATTTTCGACGATATATTTTCCGACACCTTTTTTGGAAAGTTCAGTTCGTGTGAAGCCGTGCCAATCCGCGATCTGCATTCTATGTAAATGTATTCAGCGATCGTGAGGGTGTCTTCCGCCGTGTCCGTAAAAAAGCATGGTTATCGACCAACTGTACGATTTCTCTTTTTCAGGATGATTATCCGATTATTTTTCCTGATCACGTCAACTGTGTGGGGCCAGTACCAGTTCGGCCAGCCACAACAACAGCAGCAGCAACAGCTGAACCAGCAACAGAACGGCCGAAATCAGCAACAGTCGTTCCTTCGAACGCAACAAAATCAGCAACCCTATCTTCAGATGCAGCCAAACCAGCGTCAGGTTGGTCAGTTGCAGGGAAACCAGCAGCAGACGTACCTCCAATCGCAACAGAATCAGCAGTTACCGTATGCCCAAGCGCAAAGCCTTCAACAGAATCCCTCATATTCCCAACAACAACAAAGCTTGTCACAGGGAATGCCACAGGGAATGTCGCAGGGAATGCAGAGAGGTGTCGTCGGTCAGGTCCTCACTCCATACAATATCAGCCAAAGCGTGGGTGCATTACTTTTGTGTGTTTCCTTGCTGTTATTTTCTGGGTCTCTTTTTCATCATAATTTGAAAATGTGGCCCTTCATCCTCCGATTCCCCAGCCTTTACTTAGCCGAGGAGCTCGGCTTAAGAGACGGGGTACCCCCAGGAGGCCCGTCGCGCGGCAAGAAGGCAGAGTCGCGGACGAGTTGCAGCGCGTGATGTGCGATGTAGGACGTGCAATGGGACACTCTATTTAACTTGACGCGAAATCCCTATAGTACGCGCGCGACTCGTCCGCTGACTTTGCCTTTTTGCCGCGCGACGGGCCTCCTGGGGTGTACTCTAAGAGACGGGAAGGGACGAGGATTACCCGTAACACAACTAGCGAACTAACCAGAGGGCCACATGGCCATACAGTTGAAGTATTCAAAATGGTAAATATTACCTAAATGTTAAGGACTAAGATCGGATCAGCCGATAGCAGGGTTAGGGATATATCTGTTTCCCCATACGGTCAGGGTAGGCTTGCTGCGACATTGTTGATCCTTCGTTCTTAAATCGCTATTTTTATTCTCCATCTCTTCATTTGAAGGCCCTTACCATACTGACCATTGGGGTCAACAACAATACGCTAAGAATCGGTCAACTGGTGGATACCACGTGCAATATCTTTTGTAATCTTATTTTGCAAATATTATATTAGTAACAACTTATCACAGCAATTCGCCAGCAGTACTCTTTGGGTCTAATGTCAACCTTAAGCATGGGCTTCGCGCTCTCAAGAAAAAGATTTGGAAGGTCCAAAAACTCAAAGCTCGCTGTATTTAACCTCTAATGTGAGGCTCTGAGAAGTATTGGAAATGCTTTGCAAGTACCTCATAATGGCAGAAGAATTTTGCACGGTTCTCTAGAGGTAGTCAGTAACTGTTTTGGAAAAGCTCATTACTTTTGCTCCTTTTTGCGTCAGCTAAAGGATACCCAGAAAAGGTGAAGAATGTAAGCCAATTACAAAGACCCTACACCTTCTCTGAACTAAAATCCCTGCCCTGAAATGAATCCTTTCCTAGGACGGCCCACCGGTTCTACACCCGTGAATTCCTCACAAGTGCCTCAGATAAAGCAGAGCAGAATCGACAAGTAACTGTTACAATTTTTCAGAACAATATCGAGATCGACAGCGGGTGTAACGATTCAATTTCAACTTCGTGGTTATTCGAATCCTCAGTTTGCTCTGCCAAACGGATGGACATGCGTTTGCCCTGTCGGGTACAACTGTAGCTATCTGAAAATTCCGCCCACCTGCTACTTCAGTTTCACGTTCATCATCTCTGCTCCAGAGTTCGTTGACGAATTTTCGCGCAAAACTGGAGATATGTCTATCTGAAACTCCTTAAACTTTGCAGCACGTCCGTTCGCGGTAACCTGGCCACCGCACCAACTCTTGTTCACATGGGACACGCAGAGTGGCTTCACTTCCCGAACGCCTCACGATTGCCTGGGATCAAAACTATGTTATGTCAACACTACCGACTAAAACCGGTAAGGCCCTACCCTATAGTCGCTTTTTGTTACCCTCTGTACCCCTGCAATTTTCAGTCTGCAATCGACATTTTCGCGCACAATCTTGGAGCAGTGATTAACCAGGCTGATGGGACGTTAGTGAGCGACGACACATTGACTCATGCCGACACATTTGTAGTGCCATTGTCAGATGCACTACCAGCTGTTGGCGGAGTGCAAAGCATGTCACAACAACATACCTACCAGGGGAAACTCCTTGGAAACCCACGTGAGTTACAGAGCCAATTCAACAGCGACACCTGTAGCCGGTTTGACTCCGATCAGTAGTCACGCATTAAGCTCGGAGACGTAGAAATCTTGAAACTCTTTTTTTTTTTCTTCTAGGAATCAGGGTCATTTTAAAACTTGCAACACCATTACCGTAATTTCTGTGTAGCATAATTATTTACCCTTTTCCTTTAGCTTTAATGAGCACCCGCCGTCCCTTGAAGGGTCAATTCTCCTCTAGTAGTTTATTGTCAAAAGGGTCATAATTGTGATTTTTAGATAAAGGTTCGTTTCTGAGGGTTTTAGAAGGGGTCGCAGCTGCAAGGGAAAGGAATTATTGACGGGTGAGACGGAGATTTGATCCGTTCAACGCGGTATATACCACCCCCCCCCCTCTCTCCCCCGTCTTATTAGTTCAATGGCAGTGTTGGAGGAGTTCTGATGAGCCCTGTTGTGTCAGAGTGTGCCATATGGTACCAGAATCGAAGAATCGAACCCTGTGGATAGGGTCATGGTGCTGGAAGTAAGGGTTCGTATTTGGATTTCCAAGGCTGTATAACGTAATTTTACAACACACGGCGTAATTAGCATGGTGCCAAGCACAACGACGTGCACGTGACGAGTAGTACTTCCCGGCCACATTGAAGTTATTACGCTCCTTAGGTTAACGTCGCTCGATGTTTAGGAGACCACAGAGTCTGAGGAAAATGTAGCCCTTGTTACGCCCCAAAAGCGTCGCATGTTATGCCGTTTTTTTTTGCTCCAGTCGCATGAGCCGTTTTGAGTGAATTCGTTAATGAAGAGGGGTCTTCCTGAAACCCCGATAGTAAATGCACATAGAAAAGCTTTTTCTTCCTTTAAAGTCAATACTTGTCTTCAGCGGAAGGGAAATAGGTGCACTGGGTGGATGTGAACTCTCAGGGAAGCAAGTAGATCAGAATAAACAAGGTTAGACCGTACTTTCTCATAGATGCAAATCTCTTATACGATGTTCCTGGCATACTCGATCTCGTGCAGTGGCTCTCTGATTGGCCCAGATTGTGATTTAACCTGCAATCAGTCAGCGATAAGTTCCAGTGCAGCTGCTTGCCGCTCAAACGCAACTGGATTCTTCTATGTCTGTAATTACCAGTCAGGAGGACAGGTTCTCATTGAAATACTTGTGATGCTTACCGTATCTCTGAGAAAAAACCCAACCACCCTATTTCAGGTGGACAATTGCAAAAGTTGCCCATGGGGAATCAAGGAAGACACCTACTGTCAGGATGAAGGAGGTGGTGTACTCGACCCTTATCACTCCGTGAGTTCTTTACGTGTTCATTTCCACAACTGCATGAGGGCTGATCCTGCTGGAGTACGGCAATATGGTCAAGGGTCCGTTCTACCGATTTGATGGCACTGAGAGGCTCGTATTTGTGACTTTCCAGAGAGGTCTTATTTAGCTAGATCTCCATAGGCTTTTTGGCCTTCTGAATTTTGGAGGTCAATTTTTCAAGGCGGAGGTCTGATAAAAGCCAGATTCAGGAACCATGAGGCCACCACCATATAATCAACCTTCGGCTCACGGCGAACATTTAATGGCCGTAATGATTGCGCCAATCGCCGTAATTCACAAGCGCGAATCGCGCGATCAATTCGCTGACTATGAACTTGACCTGAACTGCAGATTGACCATTTCTCAGTGCTTAGCGAAACCTTAAAGGAAGATATGGTTTTCGTTCCATCTTAAAGGAGCAATACATGTTTCAGGGTGTTGTGGGCACTGGATTCCGCACTGCGACCATCATCTTATCGGTCATTGTTCTGGTCTTCCTTATCCTCCTCCTCTTACTACTATTTGCTGTGTGCATACTACTGTAAGTTCGCTCTAAATTTGCGACGTCATTGAATTTCACCCATGTTTCGTTTAGACGTCGTAGACGGCCTGTGGAAAAGGAGATGACCACATACGAGCAGAACGGTTACACCGCTTCAACTCCATCTTCACGTCCACTGCTGACCGCTGCTTACCGAGCTGAACAACCGACGCCACAACCACGCTCCCAACCGCCCAGTCTTGAGGCTCGACCCATAAGTAAGTACATCTAAGATGGAGCGCGACCATCTCTTAGCGTACGACACGGTACTTTTTGGAGGCGTTTTGCTATGTTTTCGGAAAATCTATCTTTTAGCAGTGGTTTGCCGCTTAGTCACATAGCTCGAAATTTTTCCCCGATATCTTTTTCTTGCATGATTTTTCTCGGCTGTCATGTGAATAGTATAATATGTCACCCGATAATTGATTTTAATTTTTGAGTAAGGTCCTGTTGCTAGGTGAGATAGCTCCATCTGAAAAACAAGAAACAACGTCTTAGAAACATTATGAAGGGTAGGAACGAAAGAGCTCGGTCGAGCTTTCAGGAGGCGGTGGATTTCCGTCGGTTCAAGAATCAAAATGATAATACTTTACAAATTCACCAATGAGGAGATAGAGCGAAGTTATATGACTTCAATGTGTTAACTTTTCCATCGAACAACCTGAAATTTTCCAAATAACATTTAGTAGTTCTTCTTCAATCTGAATCAGGTCATTTGGAGATAGGTTGAGAATTACCCTCACTCGACTTAGACAACCCATAGGCTGTGCTTGCCTCACTAAACGTTCTCTGCTATTCAAAATATGTTTTATTTGTTGCGAAGTCAGGTCACGACGCGGCGTCCAAATTTGTGTCCTGCTGCTCGCGGTGCATTTTAGAGGATATTCGGACGAAGAACATTTGACTGTGTTGGAAGCACGGCGAAAGAGTCTCATCAGGTCACGGCACGGTGTAGCAGGCAACAAATTCTTGCTACACCTTGCCGAAACCTGATGAGGCTCTTTCAAACTACGTGGCTGTGTTGATCATGACGATGGTCAGAGGCGGTGACCCATGATTGCTGTAGGACGGTTTCGCAGGGTTGAATGTCATTGGTGGAAGGGTGTTAAGGACTTCGTCCGCAACCATACCCGTAGCGCACTAACAAGGGAGGTCTTTCAGGGCAAGGTGCGCTTTTTCAAAACGGTTTTGTGCATATTGTAGGGACGCATGTAGGGAACGCAAAACCATGTTTCATTTTCGCTGAACGGTTATAGCAGTACCAAAAAAGAAGCATAAGGTACTGTTAAGGGTTCGATCCCCGTGGCGACTAAATTTTGCATTTGGGTTGGCGCCTACGGTTTGGTGCCAAATCGCGCTAAATATCAAAATCAGATGTCAAATTCATCGTCAGGACCATTTTGAAGCCAACAAGTGGCCGCCAACCTTGATTGCAAAATTTAGTCGCCGCGGGGATTGAACCATCAAGAGTATTATTCACCACTTTTTTGGTACTACTAAAACCGTTACGAAACATGGTTTTGTGGTCCATACATGCGTCCCTACAACATGTACTAAACCGTTTCCAAAAAGCGCACCTTGCCCTGAAAGACTCCCTGCCCCCTTGTAAGGGTTCAGTCCGACAATGACTTTCACTGAAATCAACATATGCACTGTACACACTTGGGCCGCGTCGTGACCACTGCCTTTGAGTTCTATCATGCTTTGCATGTAAGGGTTTTTATATGCTTCTCAGACCCTCTTAGGATGTTCCTACCTCTCTCATTTTCCTTTCCTAGGGCTGCTTACTTGCTATTTTCTGTTTCCTCACATTTTCGGGTCTCATCTTTTTAACCACACTCATTTAGGCACATTGCCATGGTCCACCACCGTTTGATGGTGAGAAACTTTACTTGTCGTATAGTGAATCCGTCCTTTCCCTATCAGGCTGTTAGTGTACTTCTTCGCAGTAATTCGCGCACGTTTTATGCAGAAAATCACCACAGTGAATCTCGCAGTATCCGCATGGGTAACAAAATATACCACTATTCTTAACAAGTCGTTCTAATTTTTGAGTGCATACCCTCTACACATGCAGGAAACCCGGAGAACTTTGAGCTGGCAGAAATGACAGACTTTCTAACTCATCTATAACTACTGTTTAGATACAATTGAGACGAATAGCTTTGATACGTAGTCAAGGAATTTGGCTTCCGTTTACCATCGCGATACATTAACTTTATTGAAATTGCACCATGGATCCAATGGTCATGGCAGCAAAGGGATAGAGGCAATCGGATAAAGGCCCTTGATGCCGACTTGAAAACGAATCATTGGAAAGGCACCAGATGAAGCCTCGTCTTGTTTTGTTCTATTTTCTTAGCACACCTCCGAAGCACATATGCGTCGAGTTCCCCCCCCCCCCACAAAGACTAATGGAAATCGGGACCAGCGTCGCGCATTGGATGGAATTGAAAAGGGATGTATGGGTGGAGAGCACCGAGGACACGCAGAACGGTAGGATATACAATGCGTCGTAGAACATCTTGCTTGCAGACAGGGCTGGTAGGTCCTCTCCCCAATCGCGAGAAGCTGAATTAAACTACCAACTGATGCGAAGATAAAGGCATTAATATAATAAAGGTGCATGTGTACGACATCAACAAAGGTAACCACTATATTATCAAAAGGCATTTTACTGACCATGACTAGATATGAAATACATAGGCACAAATATCAGAGAGTAGAAGCATGGAGAGAACTTTCGGGCTTGGTCGGAAGGGAAGACAGGAAGGCATAGTGTGGGTACAGCAAGCGCTGCTCTGACGAAGATGTTTAGTTTGTCCGCTCTAACCGGGAGCTGAGATTGTCGGAGATGCAACCACCCAGGACGGCGAACTGACTGCGCACGGTTGCGCGGGGTGGGCAGAGAAGAAGAGTGGGAAAGTGATCAGAGCACGGTATCCTATCGGTGCATGCCATGGTCGTAGAAAAGATCGTGACAAAAGCCACGACAAACAGGGAGCAGGTGTCAAGGTGACAACAGAGGAAGGCTAACGAAGGCTAGGCAACGAAAACGCGAACCCAATTTAGCCTAACTCTAACAGTTCCGTATTCGTTATAGAACCTTGGCCCTAAAGAATTCCAATTCTCTCACGTACAGCTTCGTTCCACATAGCTCTTTTAGAAACTCTTTCATTTGGCAAGGCACAAGGCTAGGTAAGTCTGGCGAATAATCCACTTGTGCGATGTGATTCCTCTAGCAGTTAAGGATAGGGTATATGTAGTGGTTATCGACGGAAGACACCTTGTATATTGAGCAATTTTTCACTAGGAATAGATCTAATGTCGGATCCTATCCCAGTAAAGTGCTAGTTACCGAACTCGAAAATGACTGGGTGCGGGTTTGAGTTTCACCTAAATACCTCCTCCGCCTTCTGTTGCAAATCTACGTCTTTGTTGTGCCTAATATCTATCATCCTACTTGCATGTTTGAAAATTTTACTCCTACTGTCACAAAAGTTCCACGTATAGTGTTCGAAAACCATTCGGATTCATTCGCTTTAGTTTTAGAGTCGTCGATCCGTAAAGCGATGTCGCCCCCAGAGCAATACAATGACAGCCGTGACACGAGTTTCAACAGCGATTCGCCATTGGGAGTGAGACAAAGCCGTAGTGCGGTCGTCTAGCTCCGCTGACCAGCTTCTCAGCTCTCATGCTCCAAACCGTCGTCATCGGGTATATCGGGAATTCGATTTTGTATTGCGAGGGCATCCACTTCTTTTGTACTAACATTGCTCTCTATTCACTGAACGTCCAGTTTGCCATATATTTGTTGCGTTCCAGTGAGGAGAGTGTTCCTCAAAGTTTTTTATTCCTGAAAGCTTTTGCCTCTGTATTCTCTTCATCACTGCTGGGAGAACACTTACGGAGGAGTTGACGAATTTATTTCGGAATTATCAAATTTATTCAGAGTTTGTGACCTTTTCCGAAATTACTCTTGTTTTCCGTTTGTACTGCCTTACATTCATCACTGTCCAGTTATTAATCATATAGTCGCTTTCGGCCGGAAGTGGGGTTAGGTTGCTACTACCTTTGCCGAGTAAGCCATCGAAAGGCACACTTTTGCTACCTCACTTTGTTTCGGTCAATCTAACCCAACACCCCAAAATGGGGGGTCCAGGTTATTTCATCTAAAGGAAAATGCAGTTAATGTACTATTCGTGCTTGGATCTCTTATTGAAGCTAACCAAACCGATACGTCAAAGCGAACATATCAATCCCCAATGTTCTATTTGCTTCCTTTGCCGCTCTAATAGAGAATGCATCGCGTATCTATTACTGCATGACATTATGCATCGTTTTTGGAAGCACTTGCACTGTCGCGCATTGGCCGTAGGCAGTCGGCGAGATCCGTGGCGACGGTTCACGAAAAAATCGAATATCACGTGTGTTTTGATTCCGTGAGCGATCTGGGATGAGGCGTTACAATTCAAGAAAATGAGAAAAAAATGAATATTTCTTATTATATAGAAAATTGTGAACCCTCACATCCTGCCTTAATTTTTCAACCCCGTCTTCGACTGAATTTCGTAACAATAATATTGCCGTGTGTGTTTTCTCATGTTTGTTCAATTTCTATGTTCATGCATTTTCTTTTCTTTTTTCCTTTATATTTACAAGTGCAATTGTGTTTGATCTGCGTGTTATAAGTAACTCTCATTATGTACAGAAATATGTAAACTCATCTTTCCACTGCTGTGTCTAATAGTATTGATTATTTAGTTTTATTGAATAAATCATTTGTTATCACTCTCTGTTTAAGGCACGAGCAATTGAGCTAACAACATTTGGCAAAGCAGTAATGACCTAATAACAACTGTCTGAACAATTTTGGTACAGTATTTACACAGATGATAGATATAAATATGCAATAAATGTAGCATATTGCAACAAAATAACAACAAGAAAGTCAAGTACTAGTTCAGACTAGGTGTAGCATCCAGTGTAAAAAAAAGTGAAATGTGTATCTACTGCTAAATGATGGTGAATTTTCAAGTGTGGCCGCGCGAGGTCGCGTCACGGCGCTGAAATACTCGCGCGATGTTTCCGTAGCTCATTGACTTTATTTAAATAGGGAGTCGCTGTGGTGATCGAACAACGTCATCGAAGGAGTGCTTAAATAACCTGACCGGCACTCCAACAACGAAAGTGTAGGCCGTCCAGGACCCACAAAATATGCAGAGCCTTTGTCCTGGCTGGTGATCTCAGAAAGGCTCTCGTATATTATCTTTAGCAGTATTTCATCGCTCTCATCCCTTAGAATCTGTGTCCATCGCAGTTTAGCGCACCTTACCACGTGCGACTACCAAACAGTGGGCGAGCCTATGCCAGGTAGGCGCTGCTCCCTCATATGTATTGTTGAGCTGAAGAAGGACCTCACGCAAGAAAGTGTTCCCATAGCGTTTGCGAAATGAGCCTTTGAGATGAATTGAGAATTATTCGGAGAAAGGCAAGCTGTCCCTGAATCGGTGATGAGCGATGATACCCCGTACTCCGTTCTGAATATAGTAAGGCGCGAGTGAACCATAAAGAATGTTGCCGCACATCGGGAAGAATTAGGCTAGAACTACGTCATCCATGCTCCATTTCCCGTAAATGAGAAGGACCTAGTTACAGATATACTAGCTTACACGGTCGTTGCTCGCAACCAAGTCCCTTATTCACACCATCGCTCCACGCGCCCTACAGTGGCCAGCCATGCCAATCCGTACCCATGGAAATGAAATCTTAGCAGGCTCCTCATTCCCTTCAAACTTTGAAGCTTTTAGCATTCTAACAGGCAGCACTACTGTTAGCAATTAACAAGCAGAGCAGCACCACTGAATAATCTCCGTAGTGCACTGAGATGATTGAGGCAAACCTAAGATTGTTGAGCACGCAATTCGTTGAAAAGGTAGCAAAGCCAATAAAATTCCACATACAGGTACGATTTCTCAGCACATTGATTTGGTTTCACCGTAACCCACGTTGGCAATGGAGAGCATGTCACATTTTATTGACTTGTTTCGACCTCTTTTTTCTGCTGCACTCCACGACGAAAAAATGGTCCTCAACCGTACGGAGGGTCATCGCTGTCGAAGGTGGAGTATGACAGAAAGGCAATTCCGGAAGATGCACCGCAGCCGAGGCATCTCACCCTCGACCGGCACGCGCGAGTGTACGAGCTTTCGCTGCTCGCTGCTCGGAAATATTACGCTAGGATGCACTCGATTCAAAGGTGAAACTGCGCCGTTTGAAGGACGCCTGTACTCGTGATCCAGTTCGACCGCGCGCTCCAGAGCCAATCCGAAGTACGGTAGAACCAATTCGGCGTGCTGAAAAATCGTTCTAGCAAATAATAGGACGTTCTCTGGATACCGCTACAGACGACTGTAGTGCGTTTATTACGAATTATTTACCTTCTCTGCTTAGGCAGCCCCAAAAAAGTGACATTAAATCCGAGTTTTCCCAGAAGCACAGCATTGAATTTTTTCAAGAGTGGGGCAAATAGCTGAAAGCAAGAAACGAATGTTTGATGGCCTGGACCCAAAATAAGGTCAGAAGCGCTAGTCCAAAGGAAATACAGGGCCAACATATACGTTAGATATGGTTCTCTCTGGATATTCGGCAAGCCGACAAACTGCCGAGTGCGAACAACCGCGTGCGGCAGATATAGTCTATTTTCTAGCTGCAATGAAGGTCCTGTAAGGATGCGCAGTTCCAAGTTCATCTTTTCAAGTCATCAGCTAACGAAACAAATGCTGAAGGCGACTCTGCTCATACGTCAGATAACATAATTTGTATAAACACACCAAAAAATAATAACAATGGGATAATGAAAGGTACTAAGCGAACTTTCGTTCGTGACGAGTTACAGTAGTGTCGTTCGTTGCAGCAGCATAACGTGCCGGTCATACCGGCAAAGTCGGTGTTCATACAGGTATTACGGAGCGCCTAAACGAAATGAATGAAGGATAAAGAGTTGGGATTTCTATTTCGTTACCAGTTGTATAGCAGGAATGGCACAAAACAGCTATCTCAGTACATTTAAAGTTGCATTGATCATGCTCTGCCTAACTCAAACCCGATGCTTTCAACTTAAAATTGAGCACATTCGATTCTACTGAATAACTTCATACTAACCTGCAGTTCTATGGCCGTCATTCATAAGTCTAACAATTGTCTGTAGGTAGTCACTGCCTACTTGAGCCCTCACACACAGAAATGGTAGCTAATAGTTCTGCGCTGACTTTCTTGGGTCATCTTTTTTGTGTACGGCAGGCCTGGGATGCTGGGAGCGCGATTCCTTTTTTGTTTTCCTTTTTCTTCAGCTGTTATACGAGTTTAGCGATTGTTTGTTTGTTTTTCGTCTAAACATACTTGTACCGAACTAACACCTTCTGCCCTGTTGTAGCGCACCATTGAGTGCATAAATAAACAAATAAAAATAGTGGCCTCTTTTACAGAGACGACATCAGAAACATCTGCCCTGTGAGCGTGGCGCAAGGTCCAAGCTCAACGTGTTCTTCGAAGAGCGTAGATCACTACGACGCTGTTCAAAATTTAGTCCCTCGGTCCTCCGCATTGCTCCAGGCTGAATCATTTACGGTAAATCTCCCTTGTTTCGACGGCGACTACTATTCTGAATATGGTAAGGTGTTGCGAGATGCACTTGCACGAGCTGGACTTTTTGTCAAGGGCGTTTTGAAATTGTCTGTCAGTGTGAGGATCAGACTTTACCTGGTTTGGACTGGGAGCCTGTAGTCGGACTCCAGCCACCAGTCAGGAGCGCGTCGACGACTGATCCGGCTAACGAGCCAGTGTTGGTCAGTATCAGTATTGTAGCCCCATT